GTGAGGGGAGCTTCGGTACCAATCGTGTACATTACCTGGTGATGCAGCTCGCTGGACGAGCCTTCTAACCCAGGTTACTAAGCGATACTGCTAATTAGTGAATCCCATTTAAGTCTCACATTAACAGACTCACAGGGATACCGCAATTGAGTTTGGAGGAGCCGACCATTCGGCATAACAATTGATTAATAATCAGCATTAAATAATAATTAATTAAACTTTAATTAATTCAAACATATTGGTGGAGAATATAAAAATTTATTTGAGCTATTAATTCCTACACTCCTGACATTCGGATTCCAAATTCTCACTATTTTGAAATTGAGGAATTGTTACTTTGTCTGAAATCAGCCTAAGGTTCCTGACTCTCTCCCCCTGGCCACCTAGCACCAAACAGCAACTTAGAAACAGGGCTGCAAAATGGAAAGTGCCATCAGCGCCCTCCACAGGCAGCTGTACATGGCAGGGTGGCAGACAGGAGGTACGTACCAGTAGGAAACTAATAGCATCCCCTCTGCAAAATGCCAGCATGGGGTTTGACACCTTCTGAACCAGCACAAACTGCCAGGCAAGCTGTGGGACGCAGGCCGGATCGCTCTGCAAAAGGCCAAACAATGCACATGAGATCACATGCATGTGGGCATGTTGTTGGGATCATTCTGCAGGAGTACACAGAGAGCGCACGTGATTACACACAACATAACATGTAACCACAAATACACAGGCACTCTGGTGGGATCACTCTCCAGAAGGGCACGGGCACACACACACATCACCACAAGCTATCACACACACACACAGCACATGCAACCACATGCGATCACACAAACAAAGGTTGGAGGGATCACTCTGCTGAAGGGCACATACAATCACAGACACACAACCCTGGCCTATACGTACCTTCCCATAAGGAAAAGTCATCCATACTTTTAGAGATGGTTTCAATCCAATTACTAAAATCTGAAAGAGACAATTTAATCAAAACTTAGATAAACAAGGACATGTTGAGTGTATTTCCTGACAAAGAATGTGATTAGTGAATTAACAAATATGCTTATGCACTCATGTAGGAGAGCAGCAATATGGGCGTATGGGTACAGTGCTTTCGTGGGAATCAAGGGCACACCTTGGTGAGGGACGCCATGGCCAGCAGTGCATGCTGGGTAATAGGGTGGTCTTTCAGCTCAGGGCTGGCATGGAGAGGCTCCACACAGCACACCTCACCCTTGGAGCCACTGAAGAGGCAGCGTGAATTACAGCTACGCAGTCCCATGACTCGCCTGCAGCCCCAAGAAGTGAGGAATAGAACAGAGCAAAAGCATCGTCTGTGAGGATAAATTCTATAGTAACAGGGAGGCTAGGGAGATACAAAAAAGATCCCTGTGAAAGAGATGCTGCACAGCATCTGTAGAGCTGGCCTGACCTGAAGGTGAGCTCAAACACAGAGCCACCACTGTCGTTACACACAGCCAGTGTCGGATCATCTGTAAACTGAGAAAAACAGGGCATCATGAGAGATGGCCACTTGTATAGTGCACTGTGTGTCTGGTGGGGGGGGGAGTGTTACCTTCACATGCAGGATGGCGGTGCCAGGGGGGTGGGCATCGCTTATAGTCCTCAGCAGCTTGCCATTGGCGAGATCCCACATGGTGATCTACCAGGTAACAGACATTCATCATGAGCAACAGGTGGAACAGCAGGCCAGGCAGTGCAAACACTACAAAATCAGATTTGGAGTATTACATGATTAAAGATAAACATCTTGAATTTACCATGTAAAGCGGAAAGCAGCCTGCATAGGACCAGACTACATGTCAAAAGGCTGCCTCACAACTGCAAACAGATTCCCTTAACAAAGCTGCAGGTCAGTGTTACAACAGACTCTACTATCTGCTGCAGGGGGCACTGATATCACACTCAGACCACACTGCAGTTTAAAGTCTAATGTTTATCAAGCACTCTGGTACTATAAAGACATAAAATGAACCAAATTTCTGAAGGCGTGGTAGTCACATATGCTGGCAGTTTATATGAAACAGCACACACATGCGAACACAGAGCAAATGCAAACATGGCTATGCCATGCTGTAGCGCTCTCCAGGTGGCATCTTCACCTGTCCTTTGGCGAAACCGCAGAGCAGCCGCGTGCAGTCGTAGTTAATGCTGAGGGCCGACACGGCGCCATACTCCACCCCAGCTGTCACACTACCGAGGCAGAGCCTCAGTGCCTGAGTCATATCTGGGGAACACAGAGTCCTGAGTATCACTCCCAGGCACTCACACACCCCCCTGACTGCAGCCCCACAAAAGTATGGCTTCCACATGATACAGATGTTGAGTGGTGGGAGTGAGCTTTTCTCTGCCAATACGCATGTCACACACTCTCTAATTATTTTACTTCTATAAGCTTCTATAGAATTTTCCACACTATAAGTGATAAGTTGTAATGTTAAATCCATTCTGCTGTCTATCAAAAATTATTTAAATGCGAAGTCAACGCATGAGGAGTTTTTAAAACTTAATTTGTCACGCTCAAAGGCTAAGTTTGAAATCTGTAAATGAGAGTGCATGGTGCTGGGTGGAGGAGAGGCATGCACATGGGAACATACAAGACCAAAATGCTTGCACCTCAAGCACTCCCACAAATGGACAGCAGGGGACAACAACCAACAACAGGTGTGGCTCACTGTACCTTTGCCTGTCCATAGCAAGCCAGGGTTGTGCAGAAACAAACAGGCCAAGAAGAGTGGACAGTAAAATACCAAGACATAGATCCCCACCAAAAGAATAGGCCAACTGCCTAGGCATGAGGTGAATTTGGGCAAGAATCTCAATACAGACAGTCCACTTTCAACTAGTGAAACTGATTGTCCAGAAGACAAATCCATGTTAAATAAATTTAATCAAAAATTAAATAAAAAAATTATTTTAAACAACCCAAGACTAAACTTGTACTTACCATAAACAAGGGCTAAACCGTGTGAAGTCCCTACAGCAATGACATTGGAAACTGTCTAGAAAAACACACACATGAACCAAATTTTAAATACCAGGCTCAAAATAATTTTAATAACACAACACACAAGCTTTGGGGAACAAACACTGATTTCTTACTATGGCTGTTGGCAGTCCAGCATCAACTTTGTCCTATGAATGAGAAAATAAAAGACACATTAACAAACACAGGAGTTGCAGATTTAAGCCATGTGGTCTGTATGTGTCATGCTTACGGCAGCAGACACCATCTGGGCGGAGATCCCCTTCAGGATGTTGTGCCGGAGCACAGAACCATGAATGGGTGTACTGCTGTCCAGGGCCCGTCTTCTCCTGCAACACAGACAGCGGGGCTAATCAGCACAGAAACCCAAGCTGCTCCTGACTCTGTGGCCTGAATGATTTTATACCGTCGGTGGTGTGAGCGGTCACCGCTGTCAGAGCTGGCCAGGGATGTGGTTTCACAGGAGTGTGCATCAATGTTCTCTGTGGTGAGCAGACATGTGTCCTCCAGGACAAACGATTCGTCTTCATCCTCAGGCTAAAAGACATGTTTGGAACTATGATTATGGGAACAGATTTAAATGTCAGCATTGGCAGGGGGATCAGCTTGGCCTCTGAAAAACAAAGTAAAAAATGCAATGCAGCATCTCAAATAGTGACTATTATTTGCGAAGCATCACTTACCTCATTAAGGATGCTCTCCAGAGTGGGGGGAGTATCCACTTGAGGAATGTCAAACTCTTTGTCATCAATCTGCGGCGAGAAAATCACCACAATTTATATTTTGTGATAATTTTCCTATGGATGACTTATCGATGACTTTCATGATGGAACACCATGGAGTGCAGTTTCATGTATTACAATCCAATACAGGCAACTGAGAAAGCCAGTGGCTGAAGGAAGTTAATACAGGTAAGTAATCTAATGTAATGTAATGCAGCACCTCTGGCAAGAAAGGCTGGTAGTGATGGGACATATAATACAGAGACTTCGGATCTCGCCTCTTCAAATTGAAGCCCAGCAACTCGAAGCTGGGAGTTGGAGCTTGCTTCGTTTCGGCAATATCATGTGACTGATGCCATCTGATTCATCCTGAGGTGTCAGAGGTTTCAAAACCTGTCCGCTCTTCAAAAATTTTAGAAAAGTGAGAGTAAAACTTTGGGCATCGTGGGGTTTTTTTGTGGTTGGAAGGATTGGTTGCTACACAGTTTACATTACATACTAGACCTTTTGATTCATTATGGAGAGTGGCTCTGGAAATGGCAAGAGGTGATCCTCAAATGTTTGGAAATAGTTTGAGTTGATGTCACCCAATAAGGTGAATGAATATTGATAAAGCAAAATGTGAAGTTATTATTAGTGGTGTTCCGATCGATCGGCGACCGATCATTATCGGCCGATTTCCATGAAAAAGTATGTGATCGGTGTATTCCGATCATGCCTTTTATTGCCGATCACAAAAGCCGATCACCTGTAGCTCATATTGTGCAGGCACGCCATGCAGCAAATCATCAACAAACACGCATGCCGTGTGGATAAAAAGTGATGTAAAGTTTGCATCCTGCAACACATGCAACGACAAAATACCCTGCGGGGAAAGCTCGTTACACAACGAATTTAATACGACATTTAAAGAACAAACACTTGGCGGAGTTTTTAAGGCTCACTGCAGAGAATGAAAACAAGACACCCGGAGCAGCAACAGTCAGACGGCAGTTAACACAGCCTACACTTGCCAACACTCGTCCGTATAAGCCTGACACTCAGAAGGCTAAGCAAATAATTGAATTCATTGGGCTAGATGACCAGCCTCAGTGGTGGAAGACACCGGGTTCCGCCGACTGCTCTCTCACTTATGATGCCCCGCTACGTTTTACCAGGACGTAAATATTTGTTGAGAGCGAGCGCGTATTTCGGCACTGCATCCAACATTGTGGACGAACACAGGAATAGACTCGTGACTGAAAAAGCTGAGATGCTCCTCTTTATTAAAAATAATCTTCCCACAATGCTCATCAACGAGTCATAGGCATTTAGCATTTACATGTTATTTAAGTAGCAAATGGGCTTTTTTATTTTGCATACGAAGCAACAGACCCATTATATATATTTTTTTTAATAAATTATAAGAAAGGTAAACAGTTTTTTTTCTCTTTGACAATGCACAACAGGGTTTGCTCATGCACAAAACAGTAAGCCATGCTCTCAGGTATTTTTGGTTCAGTAACGTATTATTGTTTATTTGAATGCAACCTGCATTTGACTTTTTACTTGAGATTATTTGATTTAGGCAATGTTGTGAGTAGAGCCTGACCGATTTATCGGCAGGCCGATATTATCGGCCGATATCAGGCATTTTCCAAACTATCGGTATCGGCATTTATAATGGCCGATAAATGAATATTTCAAAAATAAAATAAAAACGGACGAAACACCCTTCAACCATGTCATGAGTGTTGGCGTTGTATAGTTTGTCCACCAGAGGGCACTCTACACCGTCCCTGTTGGCAACACTCGTGTATAACGTGCCACACATCCTGCAACCTGCTGATCCAGCCAGAGTCGGGCAGAGAGAACCAGTTATCCGCGAGTGAGATCATCGGTGAAGTGTGTTCATGGTGAGTTGGTCACGAGACATACATTGCTTGAATAACAATTAAAAGAACATCCCCATCAGTTCTCTCAACTCAAATAAGCATGACAAAATTCGTGACTATCATGTCCAGTTTTGCTGCTGTTAAATAAGCCGAGAGTGAAGCAGAATTAGCTAGTAATTACGTTACGTTGTTACAGTGTAGTTGACTGACTGTCCTTTTAACTTTTGACAATGAGACTGAAGTTTTTCTTTAATAGCGTGACAGTTATAGCAGTGAGACGTATCATCTCTCCTTCGCCTGTTATATTGAAAATGTATGTTTTACAATTTGCAGTATGACGTTATCCATTGCTAAATTATGGCTCATCATAGACTAGCTAACCACAAAGCTAGTTAATGCCACTATCAGTGGAAGACCGCTAACGTTAACATTAATGACCTTGGAAACCACAACGAACTTATTCTGCCTAAATAAAGTAATGATTACTGTATTTATAACTAGCATATCTCTAGTTACAGTCCCTGCATTGTAAAATGTAAGTTAGACATTTGCGAGGAGTGAACATTTGGACATAGAGAAAAAGTATCAAACGTAGCTTGTGCATAAAAGTTCTATTGCTTGTGCTATTCAAAGTTATATTTATGAAGCTTACCAAGTCTTTTAAAACTGGTAACTTTGATTTGGTTGTTGTTGTTTTTGTGTTTTTGTTCAAAGGACTTTACGTTTCATATCTAAAGTTTGTATTTTTATACATTTTATTTATCAGAACTTTAATATATTTTGATGTTCCTCTGTTCTGTTCTGACAATAAAAGAAACAAGTTTCTTTTTAAAATGCATTATCATATTATGTTAGTTAAAACTCATAAATAACTACAAATAACTAATGTTAGGGAAATTTGTTAATGTTTTGTTGCGTGTTTCTGAAATAAAAAAAAAATAATTATATATATATATATATATATATATATATATATATATCGGCCGATATATCGGAATATATATCGATTTGTATCGGTATCGGCCTTCAAAATCCTTTATCGGTCAGGCTCTAGTTGTGAGATTTATTTGACTTTCTGTCCGTTCAGAGCCTTAATGTTTTCAACCTATTAAAGACTGTGTTATTGATAGCAGGTAAACTTAAGTGATTTTCAGTTGTCCTTTTGACTGAATAGTTGCTGTATTATGCCTGCAATAGTTATATATTACGCCTTTTTGTATTTTTTCTCTTGAAAAAGTAAGTAAACATGTTTTTGTCTAAATTAAGGTTATTTTATTGTTCCTTTTTTCCAGATCATTTAGCCAGTAGCACTCATCATAACTAAATTGAAAAATTTACAGTCAATCAATGTGATCGGTATCGTGATCGGCAGTGATCGGCACTCATTGGTAATCGTCAGCAAAAAACCTGATCGGAGCATCCCTAGTTATTATTATTATTATTATTGTTGTTGTAATAATAGTTCCTTTGCTTGTTCAATGGGCCAATTCTTGCCAGCCACGGGGGAGGCAGGGTTTCCATCAGGCACGTGCACAGGTAGGGCTCAACCTGTGCAGAGCACATGCCCTTTTTGTAATTACACTCGGAAGTGCCGTGTTTTTTTTTTTTTTTAAATCAATGCTATTGGTAACCCTTTACGTCTGTTTGTCTTTTTAACAAATATTTTACCAATTAAAGGCATTAAAAAGCGCATCTCCTAGAACCGCTCAAACTGTCAGTCAAACTTCACAACTCAACACATCAGAGACAGAGTCATAGAGCAGAAGCAGATGAACGTCTTTGTCTTGTAACGGTAAAATATCTCGTTGTTTGAATAAGTGCAATGTTGTCTTTATGAAACAAACACTAGTATGTCTATAAAGGTTCATATAATGCATATAATGCATCACCACACCGGTGTGATGTTGACATAATGTGATGTCGTCGTTTTAATGATGGACAAATTGCACACATTCGCTGGTCAAAAACCCACGGTGTAACTGCATTTGAGTTTGACACAAAGCAACCGAGTGATCCTTGTCAGCTAGGTAAAATATATTATAAGAAATATCTATTTTGATTTTATGGCTATCTGCTGAATGTGCTGATGCATGTAAATTTCATGATGTAATTTATTAACATTTCATCATATTATATAGCCTATGGTCACACAGCATGGTAGGTTAAAGTTTACGATGCTATTATATTATGCATGTGTTTGCTGGCTAGATTTTTAAAAAAATCTAGTATTGTATACTCCCCGCTCATCTTCACATGTATAAAAATAGAAAAACATGGTATAATTGTGTGTTATTTTTTTGGTGGTGGAGGGGTTCGTGGGGGTGCCCTTTTTCAGTTTCAGCACATGCCCCTCAAAAGGTCTGTGCACGGCCCTAGTTTCCATTCCCTTGTTGTAAATCATTTTGGATAAAAGCATCTGCCAAATGAATAAATGATTATATTCGTATCATTCATCATTATTGCACTGGCCAGGTTTGCATTGCTCCACACAGTAATAACACATCCTTAATGTGCTAAATATATTAATTGCCCCCGTGAGACTGCCAAGTTACACCCCAAGGTCTTTCTCCCATCTCCCAAGCTTAAAACGGTCACGTATGTAGCACCTAACTGACAACAATTTAACAGCAATTAAAGAGTTCGTACCAGATCCATCACAATATTTTATCGTAAATACATATGACTGAAAATGCATAAGTAAACCGAAAGAAACATGGTATTTTTTTAAGATTATATTTAGCATAACACAATCAGACCTTCAGACCACAATCACACCAGCCACATTATTCATTCGACGGAAACGCATATAGACTTCATTCTCAGATTCGAAGCATTGCCAAAACCCACTAAGGGTCTCTCGATAATTGAAAAAATAGGTTCGAAAACTCGAAACACGTTCCCACGCTTTATTAGTAAACGCTGATTTCAAACCACACGAAACGAACCGTCCAAATTAGGACTTCCTTCGCAAATCTGTTGCAAAGGTCACTTACCGCTTCAATGTCCGCTAAATTCAGCTGAGATGAAGAAGAATCTGGAGAATCCGACATTTCAGAGCCAAATATGTCAGAATTAGATAAATAAACAAGCGAAAGCAGAATCACTAAAGAGGACTCGCAGCCATTCCGCGCTCCCGGCGGAAGTGACGCACAGTGCGCGTCTTTTTTTTAAATAATTCTTTATTAGTACAGTACTTCAGCCAAGTGATACAGAACAGTGGCACATAAAAAAAACAGAAACGAAATAATAAAGAATAATGTAGGGGCTTAAGTTACAAAAGCAATAAATTAAATTATTTACAAATATTGATGGTCTTTATGGCTTTGGAATTATTGCAATAGTAAACAGGATCGAGGTATGGTTGAAATTGGTTAGCAAAAATAAACATAGGTGTTCTGCTGCAATACTTACTTTTATGTACGTGAAATTTTGCCAGAATGACAAGAAGATTTATAAGATAGTGTTCGTTCTGCAGCGGTCACGGCTCCCCATTGGCCGGCGCCGCTGAAATGTTTCCGAACTGTCTCGACCGATTCGCCAATCCCACGACTGCGGCCCCGCGCGATTGGCCGGCGCGGCTATATCCCGCCCCCAACTGGAAGAAACGTTTCAACGAAATGTTTCAAAACTGTCTCGACCGATTAGCTGAGCCGCGAGACCGACCCCGAGCAATTGGCCGGCGCGGCTATGGTCCGCCCGCTGGCCGGCGCGCTTATTTGAATGAAGACCACAGCGGCAGGGACATTCTCATCGCATGTCACCCCTTTTGCTTCGCGTCCGGCGTCCTACACAGCGCTAACAGGTAAGCCCGAGAAGCTGCTGCATTCGTGCAGAAATCTCGCCCCGTTAATTATTCTTTTTTTTCGGGTGTTTAGCCGATTGATTTCGTATTTTGCATATCCTTAATTTGATGTTGTCGATCCAATATGTCATATTGCAAAATAATGCTGTCGATTGTTTTAAAATGTGAAGTCTGCCAAACAAACATGCTGTAAAAAGGCGCACGACAGCGTATTCACCTCTCTGTCGATTAAATGTTTTGCAGAAACAGTTATGTAGTGAGGGAATAATTAATAAAATAAAGGGAATGATTCTATAAGACTGTAACTAATCACAACAAGAACTGACTGGCTCGCCGGCAAGGCAAGGCTACCTAATCGGAACAGATAGGGGGGGCGGCAGAGAATATCAGCGGCCCCTACGTGCTACAGTATTTGGGTGATCTGCTCTGTGTTATATANTGAGACTTAAATGGGATTCACTAATTACCAGTATCGCTTAGTAACCTGGGTTAGAAGGCTCGTCCAGCGAGCTGCATAACCAGGTAATGTAAACGATCGGTAGTGAAGCTTCCCTCACGGCCAATGAGAGAGAGTCTTGCGATATTTCAGTTTGAGGTTTCAGAGCTTAGTAGTCAGATCACACAGAGGCAGGGACTATTGTGAGCACTCAATGAACAGAGGCTGAAGTTGTATAAAAGACATGCATTTATTCCTAACTAACATTACAACTAACATAAGACTAACATTACACTTACACAAACAAACACGAAATAACGGAATAGAAGCAGACAGAATGTAATTATGGAAGATCAGATCTAAATGAGTAACCTTAAAAGGGAAATACTGTTCTGCAAAGCAAGCACAGTTTGTGGAAACGCGACCCTAAAGTCATATAGCAAGTTAACAGAACAACTTAGGTTGTTAGAATGAAAGGAAGTTGGTTTACTTGCTTGCAGAGTGGGGGGGAAAGTCTTGGCAGTTGGTTGCAGAGGCTGATGAGCTGATGGGATGATGGCACTCAGGAAGACGCGGCATTTGGAGCGGTTGTTGGAGTGGAGCCCCTTGGATTTTCTCTCCTTGTGAAGCTTTAAGGTGAAAGGCTTTGTCTTGGTTGCAGTTCTCTGTTTGGTAGCAGGCCTTCACCGGCAGGCTTCAGGAGGGCTTCTTGTGGGCTTCTCTTCTCCTGGGCTGATGTTCTCTGCCTCTCTCTTCCGGCTGATGTTCTTTCTGCTCTCCCGAGGCTTTGTTCTGAGGTGCCAGGTTTTATGGTCTAAAGTTCATGAATAGGGATGACCAGGAATTCGACCCCTGAACCAATGGCTGACCATCCATTTGGCGGGCTTTCGGAGGGGTGTCTGTGGCAGTCCTTTTGGGATTTATGACCAGACTGATTCCCCTTTACTGGTGATTTTCATTAAGCTGGTGTAACAATTACTTATATTATGTATGTTACTGACTCACATCAGTATACTGTATAGGTGTTTTGGGTTGCACCTCAACAGATGTTACACTTTGTACAGACATTGCATGACATATTCGTATTGAAACAGCACATCTTACCATTAGATAGGTGTGCCCGTTAGTTTGGGGTAATACCAATTTAAGTTGCACATCTGGGAACAATATATTTTGGGTTGGTGTGGCATATCCCAATTGACCTGCTCTCCAGAATGGATAATGTACATCTTAACTCAGTTCTTTTAATGCAGCATGGTAGAGCACAAAGAGCTTGCTAACGGGCCACAAAGATCAGATAAGGGCCACAGAGGAATGTGAAAAAGGAATGTAAAGAAAGAAGAATCTCTTAAAGTTAGGACACACTGAGATACTTGGTTACACTACTTAATTTTCAAGATTCTTCTGGTATGACCATGAGAACCTATATGCAGTGGTAGCTATACATATTTATTTATTCAAATTTGTTCACTCCGTGAACATGGTTATAAGGGTGGCACACAAAACACTAAGATTGTCTAAGGACACACACAAACATAACCTAACTGTATATTGAGACTAGCAATCATAGGCAAAGAAATATACAGGGTATACAAAAGCCGACTTAGAAGAAACTTTCTTTAGGGTGTTAGCCTGATTGGGTGAATGGTATGTAAGGCAGGATGTATGGGGAGGGGGTTGCGTGCCAAGTCGAGGGACCCCTATCCTTGAGGTCCACTCTGCTGTCCATAGGTCCCTAAATCTTTGGGCCTTAAAAGTTGAAATGCTGGCGTCCCTTGTTATCTGTGTGTGTGTGTGTGTGTATGTGTGTGTGTGTAGGTCACCAACCCCCCTTTGTTGCTTAGGCCAGCGAGTACCTCTCGTACCAGGGTAGACCTTGTCTCAGGCCACCTGGAGTTTAAGCTCTGTCATATGTGCATGTGTGATCCTACATGTGTGTCAGTCCAGAGTGCCATACGCATCACTCGGGGCATATCCAGTGTGAGGACTGTGGGGCTTTTTGCCGCTCATGGTGTTGCTTTGAGCAACACAAAGTCCCAAAGGCTCAACCTTACAGTGATGGCGTACACAGCTTGTGCGACATAGTCAAATACTGCGATAAGTGTAACCGAAGATACATTATAAATATAAAAAAACCAATGGCACATAAATGTCTATTTAAAAAATGAGCTTTTTGCAATGAGGACTTGATCGCTGAGTGTAAGCACCAGTGTTTCATCAAACAGGAAAAGCCTGAGGAATTGGCGAGTGACTATGTGTTTTATGATTGAATGCCGGCAAGACGAGGGAGTGCATGTGGCTAATTACATCTGCTGTATTTGACTCAATGGTGAATGCTGGACCGCTGAGGGTGACAGCTGTGTGGCCAAATTTTTTGCAAAGTATCGCACCCCCAGATACAAGGGGTACACCTTTATAGCGAATAACGCTAAAGGCTATGATAGCTACCTACTCATTAAATATTTGATTGAAAATGGCATCACACCACATATTATCGCACAGGGCAGCAAACTGCTCTGTGTGACAGACAATGCCTTTAAGCAACATTACATTGACTCCCTTTGCTTTCTACCCATGAAGCTGAGTGCATTTCCATCAGCTCTGGGGTTTGAGAGTGAAATGAAAGGCTATTTCCCGCATTTTTGGATCACTGTAGAAAATCAAAACCCCCACCTGAAGCATATGCTGTTCAAACCACTATGGACAAGGAGAAGTGTGAGTTTATTAAGTGGTACGGATCTGTTTGTGGTGAGGTGTTTGACATTCGAAAAGAAATGGCAGAGTACTGTAAAAATGACGTGGTCATTTTAAGAGAGGGATGTCTCAGGTTCAGGGCAGAGATTCTCAATAGCTGCGGTCTAGACCCGTTTCAATGCGTCACCATCACCCCTGTGTGCATGAATCAGTTTTGCCTAAAGACACCGTAGCGCTTACTACCCCAGACAACTACATCATGCGGCAAAAGACATACTCCACGGCATCTATACAGTGGCTGGAATATCTAGCCGCACGCGACAAACTAGACATTCAACATGCTGTCAGTAGGGGTGAGGCAAAAATGGGTGGGTACTACCTTGATGGTTATGCTGAAATCGATGGGGTCGCCACAGTCTTTGAATTTGCGGAGTGTTTTTTTCATACAAACACGGTAAACTGTCTAACTAAACTGAGTTTTGGCACCACCAGTTTCAGGAGATGGTTGTTACCCTACAACGCACATACAACCTTAATGTCAAGTGTTCTGTCATTGTGTTAATGTACTCCTAGCCTGCAGGTGGTGCTGTTACTTGGGGTTGCCTTTAGCGCCACTTCCCTTTGGGTTGAGTTAGTTCTATGTTTAGCAACAGAGAAACACATGGTGCACCAGTTAATATGTGCATCTAAGGCCATCCTACACGCAATTATATGTTGGAGGCATCGTCTGTGAGTATGATTACAA